GAGAATGAGTAAATCAAAATTTAGAGATAAAAAGGGAAACTGTTTTGAGTGTGGGGAGAATGGTTACTTTAGGAGAGATTGTCCTATACTGAAGAGAGGAAAGGAGCATGAGAGTTATGCTAATATAGTCGACAAAGATAATTCTGATGATAGTAATAACAACAGTGTTGGGGTAGTTCTATATGTGAATTCGAATAATTGAAAGAACTCATAAATTTTTTATTTTAGTGCTATATTCCACATGTCTACAATGACATTGGTTTGCTACTTACAAGCAGATGAATAGTACTGTATATATGAGAGATGATAATTCATTATTTATAGCTGGGATTGGTAATATCATATTAAAAATGTTTGATGATATCATCCGAATTATTGAGTGTTAGCATGTTTCTCATATGAAGAGGAATCTAATTTCTCTTTTTACATTGGCGACTCAGGGTTTATCATGCATAGAATTGTACTCTTAAAGTGTGTAAAGACTCCAAGATACTCATGAAAAACAATTTAAAATCTATATTATATGTTTTTTAGGCAAATGTAGTTTCAGGGGGAAGCTGTTGTAGCATCAGAGAACAGTAATCAGAATCAGTTGTGGTATCTACGTTTGGGTCATATGAGTGACAATGGGTGATTTGTTTTGAGCAAGTAAAGTTTGTTGAATAGGTATAAAGAAGGACTTTTGAGTTTTTGTGAACACTGTGTATTTGACAAGTAGACCAGAGGTAAGTTGGATTATGTTTATTCTAACTTATGGGATCTATACAGAGTTTCCTCTAAGAGTAGTGTCAGATACTTTATGACATTGATTGATGATTATTTTAGTAAGGTATGAATGTATTTTCTGAAATTCAAAAAAGATGCATTTTCAACATTTATCAGATGGAATATCATGATTGAGAAGCAGATAGAGAGGAAGATCAAGTGTCTTAGGACTGACAATGGATTAGAATTTTGCAATCATGAGTTTGATGACTTCTGTAATACGGAAAGTATAGTGAGACACTGCACTTGTGTTGGGACACTACAACAGAATGATATTGCAGAACGCATGAATAAAACACTTTATGATATGACACGAAACATGTTGTCTCATTCAAGTGTGAGATAGAAATTTTGGGCTGAAGTTGTGAATAGTGTTAGTTTCTTAGTTAATATATCTCCATCCACATCTATTGAGAGTAAGACTCTTTTTGAGATATGGTCTGGGTCACATGCTAATTACTCTCAATTGAGAGTGTTTGGTTATCTTGGTTATGCTTATGTTAGGGATAGTAAGCTTGAGCCGAAGGCAAAGAAGTGCATATTTCTGGGGTATGCATATAGAGAGAAAGCCTACAGGTTGTGGTGTAGTGATCCCAAGTCTCTAGGGTTGATTATCAATGATATGTGACATTTAATAAGTCTGCTTCATTAGACAGTCAAAAGAGGAAGATAATATCAGAATCAGATCACAGTGTCAGAAAACAAGCAGAATTAGAAGTTCAGTCCAATGATTCGGACAATGAAGTGCATGATCTTAATCAAGAAGTTGATAGTGCATGATGCAAACAAAGTTAAAAACACTCAAGATACTCAAAGAGCATCAAAATGTGACTTGGAGCAAATTTCAAATGATGTAAATACAAATAGAGTTCCAAATATGTAAAGTTTCAGCGGATCAGTAATAAGATCAAAGGCAAAGAAACTTAAAGAGTTGTTCCAAGTTTTCACTCAAAAACATGTAGATGATGGACTGGCCAATTGTAGAAAGTTCAAATATGAGCTTTTTGAACAGTTCAAATTCGTAATTTTAATTGGATTTAAATGATTTGGAATAATTTGGGCTTGTTTGAGTCTTATTGATAATAGATGCATAAGTCTTGTGTATGAGCTGGATTAGTTGAGTTGTTTTAAGTATTTTAGATTGTTTTATTTTAGTTTGAGTTAATTAAGCCTATATAGTCAAAGTGTAACTAATTTGGGCTTAAGTCTTGTATTAGTGTTATTACAAGAATGAGCCCATAACTATATGGTGCTACAAACAATTAGTAGTGTTGGTTAAGAAGATTGGAGTTATAAGGAGTTACATAACAATTACATGTTTATAATTAACCTAGTTATTGTTGGAGTTACAATTGTAATTATCACATAATTAGCCTAGTTATTGTGAGAGTTACAATTGTAGTTATTGTGTTGTAATTTATAATTGATTTCTTTGGCTATAAATATCAAATGAACTCTTCTCTGTGGACATCAAAAGTTGTAATAAAATATTTCAGAATTGAGTCAAGAGTGTTTTGACTTTCTTTTTACTTTATGCATAAGATGTTGATTTGGAATACAATTCTTATCACTTATATTTTAATTTTGATTTCCTATTTCAATTGTTTTTTTGTGTTTGTTTGGATTGGGCTCAAGGGATATTATTTATCTTTCTTGGGTTCTATTTAACTTCTTTCATTTAGGTGATTGAACAAATTCATTTTTACTTGTAATCTAAATTATATTCTAAACCGATTGAAAAGTTTTAAGATTTAAGCAATGGTCTTAGATTCCGCATCAGTTCACCTGATTAACAACAACCATATAGTATTATAACAGGCAGAGAGAAAAGACAGATCAGATGACCACAGAGGTATGAGAATATGGTTGCATATAACTTGTCAGTTGCGAGACCGATTGATTTGCAAGAACCAGGTAGTTCAGATGATTAATGTTGTGTGAAGAACTTGATGGCAGATGTCACTATATTTAGGGATCAAATAACAAGTTTAGGTAAGATAGTTAGCTGCTTTGATGATAGAGGAAATTCAATGATGATAGAGGAAATTCAAGCCAATTGGAAGATTTATTAATGTGTTTTGAATTTTAACGATTTTTATATATATTTTGAGAGTAATTTATTTAGATTTTTTCTATATTTATCTTAAAAATTATTTGATATATATTGTATAGCGTTTTTATTTGTGAAGAACTCTGTTAGTTTCTCTATATATAAGTTTGCTAACATATTAGTGATGTACTCTCATATTATATAATATAATTCTTTTTTGTTGATATTGTCTGGAAATATAGACACATTGATAAAACATGTAAAAAATTTATATTCTTTTTTTTTCTGGTTTTACTTTAATGTGATTGTACATGCTTTAAAAATTAATTTTTCCCAACAGAAAAAATGCAAAGAGCTTCACCTGTAAAACTTTATGTCGTTACCGGATAGTATAGACTTAATACCTTACTTTCTTTTGGTGTTCAAGACCAAAAATATAGTAAAAACAAGTGATTTTTATGTTGATAAAAGAACTAGATTATATCTAACATATGATATTTTTTTTCTATTTTTTAGAATTTTTTTATAATTCTTATTTTTTAAATATATTTATTTATTTTTTTATAAAACTAACTTTTATTTTTTATATTTAGATAAATTTTAGTCATGATATTATGTGAGTTAACAACGAATTAATGAAGTTATAATTTTTTAAAATATTATTTTAGTTTTGAAATGATAAAAATATCGCGTTTAATATAAAATTTAAATATTTATATTATTTTAATATTTTATGATAAAATGATATAATTCATTGTATATACAATATTTGTAATGAATTATATTAATAAAATATATTTATTGAAAAGTATAGTCCATCTCTCCTTTCAAAGAGTAATACAAAAGCTTGGATATATTTATTCAAATTGGTTTCAGAGTATTAGTTAAAATTTTGAATTCAAGAGCTTTTTTTTTTTTTTTTTTGGTAATTAATAATTTATTTTAAATATAAGAAAAATTATCAAACTGTCAGTCATAAACAATTTACATGGCTGTTAAATCGAACATTCCCAAGTACTCAACTTGATTGCAGATGAAAAAGGATTCATTCAAATAAATCAAACACTTT